TTCCTGGGATGCAGGGCTGGTTCAACATTCGCAAATCAATCAACGTGATACATCACATTAACAAAAAAAAAAAAGAGAAAAACCATATGATCCTGTCAATCGATGGAGAAAAGGCCTTTGACAAAATCCAGCACCCTTTCTTAATAAAAACCCTTGAGAAAGTCGGGATAGAAGGAACATACTTAAAGATCATAAAAGCCATTTATGAAAAGCCCACAGCTAACATCATCCTCAACGGGGAAAAACTGAGAGCTTTTTCCCTGAGATCAGGAACACGACAGGGATGCCCACTCTCACCGCTGTTGTTTAACATAGTGCTGGAAGTTCTAGCATCAGCAATCAGACAACAAAAGGAAATCAAAGGCATCAAAATTGGCAAAGATGAAGTCAAGCTTTCGCTTTTTGCAGATGACATGATATTATACATGGAAAATCCGACAGACTCCACCAAAAGTCTGCTAGAACTGATACATGAATTCAGCAAAGTTGCAGGATACAAAATCAATGTACAGAAATCAGTTGCATTCTTATACACTAACAATGAAGCAACAGAAAGACAAATAAGGAAACTGATCCCATTCACAATTGCACCAAGAAGCATAAAATACCTAGGAATAAATCTAACCAAAGATGTAAAGGATCTGTATGCTGAAAACTATAGAAAGCTTATGAAGGTAATTGAAGAAGATTTAAAGAAATGGAAAGACATTCCCTGCTCATGGATTGGAAGAATAAATATTGTCAAAATGTCAATACTACCCAAAGCTATCTACACATTTAATGCAATCCCAATCAAAATTGCACCAGCATTCTTCTCGAAACTAGAACAAGCAATCCTAAAATTCATATGGAACCACAAAAGGCCCCGAATAGCCAAAGTAATTTTGAAGAAGAAGACCAAAGCAGGAGGCATCACAATCCCAGACTTTAGCCTCTACTACAAAGCTGTCATCATCAAGACAGCATGGTATTGGCACAAAAACAGACACATAGACCAATGGAATAGAATAGAAACCCCAGAACTAGACCCACAAACGTATGGCCAACTCATCTTTGACAAAGCAGGAAAGAACATCCAATGGAAAAAAGACAGTCTCTTTAACAAATGGTGCTGGGAGAACTGGACAGCAACATGCAGAAAGAACACTTTCTCACACCATTCACAAAAATAAACTCAAAATGGATCAAGGACCTGAATGTGAGACAGGAAACCATCAAAACCCTAGAGGAGAAAGCAGGAAAAGACCTCTCTGACCTCAGCCGTAGCAATCTCTTACTCGACACATCCCCAAAGGCAAGGGAATTAAAAGCAAAAGTGAATTACTGGGACCTTATGAAGATAAAAAGCTTCTGCACAGCAAAGGAAACAACCAACAAAACTAAAAGGCAACCAACAGAATGGGAAAAGATATTTGCAAATGACATATCGGACAAAGGGCTAGTATCCAAAATCTATAAAGAGCTCACCAAACTCCACACCCGAAAAGCAAATAACCCAGTGAAGAAATGGGCAGAAAACATGAATAGACACTTCTCTAAAGAAGACATCCGGATGGCCAACATGAAAAGATGTTCAGCATCGCTCCTTATCAGGGAAATACAAATCAAAACCACACTCAGATATCACCTCACACCAGTCAGAGTGGCCAAAATGAACAAATCAGGAGACTATAGATGCTGGAGAGGATGTGGAGAAACGGGAACCCTCTTGCACTGTTGGTGGGAATGCAAATTGGTGCAGCCGCTCTGGAAAGCAGTGTGGAGGTTCCTCAGAAAATTAAAAATAGACCTACCCTATGACCCAGCAATAGCACTGCTAGGAATTTATCCAAGGGACACAGGAGTACTGATGCATAGGGGCACTTGTACCCCAATGTTCATAGCAGCACTCTCAACAATAGCCAAATTATGGAAAGAGCCTAAATGTCCATCAACTGATGAATGGATAAAGAAATTGTGGTTTATATACACTATGGAATACTACGTGGCAATGAGAAAAAATGAAATATGGCCTTTTGTAGCAACGTGGATGGAACTGGAGAGTGTGATGCTAAGTGAAATAAGCCATACAGAGAAAGACAGATACCATATGGTTTCACTCTTATGTGGATCCTGAGAAACTTAACAGGAACCCATGGGGGAGGGGAAGGAAAAAAAAAAAAAGAGGTTAGAGTGGGAGAGAGCCAAAGCATAAGAGACTGTTGAGAACTGAGAGCAAACTGAGGGTTGATGGGGGGTGGGAGGGAGGAGAGGGTGGGAGATGGGTATTGAGGAGGGCACCTTTTGGGATGAGCACTGGGTGTTGTATGGAAACCAATTTGACAATAAATTTCATATATAAATAAAAAAAAACACACAAAAAAAAAACAAAAAAAAGAAAAAAAAAAAAGAAAAATGACAAACATATGCAAACGAAATTAACAATAAAAATGTAGTATTTTGTGGGTGTGACAGGCACCCTCTATAGCAGTGCCTCCTGGGATGCAAATCAGTAAAACCTGATACCAGAGGAAAAAAGACAATAAAATTCCTTCTTCTATAACCTCAGAGAGGAGTCCTATAAAGTGTCACTATCAAATATGATACTTCAAAAAGAAATATTTCATTAGGAAAAGAAAGAGATTGGGGCTGGAGACTTGCTGTAACAAAGTGTTTTTCCTACAGGGATATTGTTGGCGATATTTTATAAGGCTATACCGAAACATCTATAAATACCAGCGGACCTTAGCTTCTATCAAGTTTCTGCTTCAGAGTAATAAAGGTCTTTCTTTTCTACCGGCCAACACATGTTGTTACCACCAGCACTGGTAGCATAAATGCAGCAATCCCCTCAGGATGTCATTTTCTTTCCCTTCATCATCACTGTTCCGGTTAACAAAGCACAAAGACATTCAAACAAAGCAGCTCTGTGGGTGGAAATGCCATTTTTCCTTCAGCAGAGAAAGTTCCTGACTTCGGTTACCCCATCCCAAAATGGTTGCCCAGAATGGCAAAATGGGCCCCCTAACTAGGCAGTCCTATGTTAAGAAAAACAGGCTGAAGGGTCTTAGAAAATTTCTTCTACCCCTGCCAGTGATTTCCCTTCAAGAATCAACCCTAAAGAAATTGCCAGATTTGGAGCCAAGGTTCATCATTCAACCTTACTGCAGATTGTTTTTTCATCTCTGAAGAATCAAAGATGTTGAAGTCTACATTTAAAAATTGCTAGTACAGGGGCGCCTGGGTGGCGCAGTCGGTTAAGCGTCCGACTTCAGCCAGGTCACGATCTCGCAGTCCGTGAGTTCGAGCCCCGCGTCAGGCTCTGGGCTGATGGCTCAGAGCCTGGAGCCTGTTTCCGATTCTGTGTCTCCCTCTCTCTCTGCCCCTCCCCCGTTCATGCTCTGTCTCTCTCTGTCCCAAAAATAAATAAAACACGTCGGGAAAAAAAAATTAAAAAAATAAATAAATAAAAAATAAAAAAAAAATTGCTAGTACATTGGAATGTTCTTGGAACGTATAAGCTTTCTCTGGCTCACTTTTTAAGGGCTGTGAATTGGTCTCTGCCTTCTCAAACCATGTCCTTAGATTCTCCTGCCTTGGAAAGCTAGCATTTACTGAGCATTTACATTTGATTACAAGGGTAAACACCAACACCCTGATCCTCAGGGAGCAGAAACAGAAGTCTACACATCCTTACACTTCTCTGCAAGGCACCTGGAGAAGACATCTGAGGACGCCACCAAAGCGCGAGTGGATGTGGAAAGGCCCCGTGTGCACCTGCAAAGCCTATAGAAGCCTGAGGGTGGCAGGGTGGGGGGAGTGTGCATTGGTGGGTTCCCTTCCTTGGGGGTACAGGTCTGCCAACAACATGATGCTTTAGGGAAACGTTCTTTGCTCATCATTGGGATCTAGGCTGTATTGTTTCTGAGAATTGATATCTGAGTTGTGCACATCTTACCACCTGCACTCGGCACTGGTGTGTGGCAATCTCAGAGGGATTAAATATGAAGAGTTAATGTTACTTTTCACTGGTCAGATTTAAAATGGCACAATCCAGTCTTGAGGAAGGCCCCCAGAAGCCTGATCTTGGCCAAATAACTCAGACTTTAGGAGAACATTGCTGGAGACAATACACTGTAGAAATTGTCTGCTGGGAACAGAGGATATGGGAAGGGATTTTCCGAAAACACAGGAGTAAAGATTTGCCTGGGCAGATCTGAAGGGGGGCATGCTTTCTCAGAATAGGATGACCTAAGGAAAGGGGGTAAAGCTAGTAACTGGAGGGTATCTACTAGGGCAGTCCAGGAAAAGTGTAACTTCTTTTAATGCTTTTTCATTTGGGCACGATGGAAGAGTCATGTGAAAGTTCCCATTTTGATGCCAGTGCCCCATACCCTCTGCAACCCCCTTTAGCTAACACCCTTCAGCAAACTGCGGTGCTTTGTCTTAGGAGGGATAATGGCAACAGGCCAACACCCTCCTGTGGAGGTCTGTGTGGGAGGGGGACTGACCCAGAGAGGGGTGGGAGACAACGCCCTTTCTCAGATTTCCTAGAAAAAGTGGACCCATGAATGGCAGACCACTGATGCTTGGGTTAGATGGGCAGTGGTGCATGTGATCCTCACAAGAACTTTAAGAAAATACTTCTTTTTACCTCTCACTTCACAAATGAGGAAAATGAGGCAGAGAGAGGTTATATAACCTGGTTGAAGGCTCACAGCTAGCAAGTGGTTGAGCACATTCCAACTCGGGTCTATAATTCCAGAATCTGTGCTCTCAATGGCGGCACCAGTGTGCAAGGCACAGAGCTGCTGAGGTCCTCAGGGAGCCCGGAGAGCCCCCACCGGCCACCTTGGTTTGTAGGGAGCCTTTTGCCTTTACCTTAGTGTACCTGTAAAACATGAGCAATGTCTACTCATGCCAAGTGGGAAAGGTTGAGAAGTTTTGCACTAGAAACTCCTGCCTTCCACCTCTGGAGCATTCAGCACCCCCTTCCCACTCCACCCTGGAGGGAGGTTTACCTTTTCTGACCCTTGGAGTCTCTGGTCCTAGAAAGCCTTGGCCCTGCGGTTGCCCGGAGCCCACCGCGTCGAAACTCTGCCATCCCCGGAGCATCAGTGTTGAAATTTCCTGACTGAGTTCTTCGGATTCTATGTGGAGAGGAATCCATGGAGACTGTCAGGGGACGGCCTGAGAGCACGCAGCCAGTGTACCAGCCCCCTACACAGGGCCACAGCAGCTGGACCCAGGACTCTCCACAGCACTTGTCCCCAGTGCCTCCCCAGAGGTTAAGGATCATGACTTGTGACAGCTCCCCAGACCCAACCTCCATTTTAATTCTGCCTCTGGGTTTCAGGGCACACCATGTGGAGTCAAAGTGAGGAATGATGCTTGGTAGGAGGCCCCAGTTTCTGCCTCATTTCACAGACTGAGTCAACTGGGACGGCAAATCTTTCTTAAGACACAGACTGACCCCTCAGAAAAAAGAAGTTGGTCTCATCCAAGTGTCTCTCCCAAAGTACATTGTAGCGTAAACTACAGAGAATGCACTCAGGGTTTGTGGGACAGACAGATGCCTGGAATGAAGGACATGTAAGGCAACTGCTACATTTAATGAGTGCTTTCATAGTTCTCCTCCTCCGGGGCCTACAAGATAACTCAAATCCTTCTAATGACCATTCTGTTTTTACTGCTGTTTCAACATCTGATTAAACAGGGGGTTATGCAGTTCTTTGCCCATTCAAGAAGAATGCTAATTCTAAGCAACGTAATTATAATCACCACCACCAACTTACTTTCCCCAGAATTTCCTGATGCCTTTGGGGCTCCGTTTACCATCTGGTGTCAGGGGAGACTGGGGGCTTGAGTCAGTGCCCGATGATGTGGATGAGAGGTCATTGGCCAGAGCAGTGTCGTCCCAACCACTTTCTGTGTCTCCTGAGATGGGAAGAACAGAATAGTGTATCAATGAGAGGAAGGAACGGGTCCTCTAGAGACCTCCTCCCCAGGCCCGGGCCATCCTTCAGTGGGAGTGGGGAAGAGTCTGCCCTGCTCTGCCTTCAGGGAAGCACTTTACATCCAGATCTCAGAGACCAGCAGGGGGATCAGGCACACTCCAGGTTCTCTGAGGACTGGTGAAGTTAACGTTTCAAATTTGGGTGAGCTAATGTCTTCAAGTGCTAAAGGTTTTGGGGGTCCAAGTACTTATGGATAACTCCAACAAGGAGCTTCCTCTTTTTCCAGGGGGAGATGCGGGAATGCAGGCAGGAGGGGGACGTGGCTGAATGTTCCAGAAGGGGAGGGTGTTAGGGTAGGGAAACTAGGGCATCTCACTCTCCACCTCACCTGGAAGGGTACAGTACCTAAGACGGGGGCACTGACACTCCGGCCACGATCTCCAGCCAATCAAGAAGTAGAGAAGCCACATGAAGAAGCAAGAGAGGCCAAAGTCCAGCCCAACAGAGTTACAGGGAAGCAAAGAAATAAACAAAAGAGTCATCGAGCAAGAGAGAAAAACTCAAACAGAAAGAAAAACAATCCCATGAGAAAAGAAGGGGGGAACAGGGGCTGAACTTGGCCCACAGGGTCAGTGCAGTGAACGGAGGCCTCACCTGAGGGGCCAAATACTCCTGGGGCCACTTCCTGGCAGGCTGAGGTATCCACACACACACAGGGAGTGGGGGACAGTGGCAGGGGCTGATATACTGGGCCACGTGCACCTCTTCTCTTGTGTGGGTGCCAGTCTGATCACTTAGATCAGACTAGAATGGTCCAAAGCCTTTCCAAGTCCAGAGTCTCCGTATTACTAGGACACACTCATTCAAGAGCTTATTTGGAGTTCCTACAGCCAGAGGCAGAACTGGCCAAGGGCAGAAGCTGACACATGGGCTGGCTCAGGGAACAACCAGGAAGGAGAGGTCGGGTAGGGAGAGCTCTGCAGGGACCAGAACGTTCCCTCCTGGGCTCCACTGATCTGTTGTTGTTGAGGAAAGATGGCCTACTCTGCATGAAAAGCAGCAAAGACCTCCATGGTTCCAGGCCCTAAGCACCAAAATGGTACCTGTGGATGGAAATCCTTGCCCATTGGCCACTGACTCCATTTCCCTAAGGAAACACTCTCCCTTGGAAGAGCACATAATATCATCCTAATGGTAATAGGGAGGCTGCAAGAAGAAGGCGGAGACAGGAGAGCAAAGATCAGGATGACAGAGGAGGAGGGGTGGAGTGAGGGACAGGAAGGGTGCAGAAGGGGTCTAGGAGGGAGGGAACAGAGGAATGATGGGATAAGAAGGGCCAAGAAAGGAAGATTGGAAGAGGGAAAATGGGGGTGGGGTGGAGTGCTTGCGGCTGGAAAGAAAGGGTGGACTCCCAGCCTGGGTTTCTGGCACTCTACAGTGTTTACCAAAGGAAATAGTGTGCCCAGACAAGGAGTCATTGTCTCAGCAAGTGACGCCACCCGGAGGGACAACTTATCTCGTCCACCCAACCCCCGCTCCCACATTCTCCAACCGTGGGTGCAGGGACCTTGGGCAATAACGGAATGTGCCAAGGCCACTGCTCCAGGGGCCACCAACCCCAGGGCTTGGACACTCACTCAGCCTGAGCAGGCTGCCCCCTGTGGGGTCGGGCTGTGAGGCCATGGGAGTTGACTTGGCAGCCTCTCCATTGGGCGTAGCTCCCGAAAGCTTCCCAGGTAATGTGGGGTATTTGTGCTCTGCCAGGAAAGGGCCGTCCTATTGGAAGGAGAGAAAGAGACATGTTGAGTCAGCTTATCAGGCTCAAAATCAAACCCAGTTAGGAAATCTCTGGATACAGGCACCGCTTGGCTTTCTAAGGGCCATTTTTCACTCAGGTCAACTCAGAGACCTTTCAAAGATCAGTCAGTCCCGGAAAGGGGACCAAAGTTCTGAGAAAGGGCCATGCAATGAGACAGGGACAGAGTCAAGCCCAAATCCAGGGCCGACTGCAGCTGACTCCAAACAGGAAGTGGAAGCATCTTGCAAAGGAGGCCTTTGCCATTTGGCCTAATGCTCGGAGGCTCAACGAATTACAGCCATGAATTATCCTTTGGGTGTTTTGAATATACAAACCCAAATTCTAATAAAAGTATACCTATTATATATATTGATAATACAGATCATATATATTAATTATATCTATATATTACAATAAGTTATCTTGAAAAATAGCAGATTAAGGCAAAGTGAGAAGGTATGCACAACTTGGGAGAGAAAACAGACCAGGGGGCTCCATGCCAACAATTCCCTTAGAAACTTAGGATCATAGTTTGCCCGAGGTTCAGCCCTGGTGCAATGGGCTTGCACACGCACCCTGGCCATAGAAAGGGTCCCAAAGAAACAAGATAATGTAAAGGGAAAGAAGTGTACTTATTTGGTTAGGAAGGACAGAAGGCAGTCAGAGAAAGACAAGCACCATACAATTTCACTCATTGGTGGTATTTAATAAAACAAATGAACACAGTAAAAAAGAGACAAAAGAAACAGACTCTTAACTATAGCCAACAAACTGATGGTGATGAGAGGGGAGGTGGGTGGGGGGATGGGTGAAATAGGGATGGGGATTAAGAGTCCTGTCATCGTGGTAAGCACTGAGTATCATACAGAAGTGTTGAATCACTATATTGTCTGCCTGAAACTAACATAACACTGTACGTTAATTATACTAGAATTTTTTTATAAAAGAAGGGCATAATGCCCCCTAAACCCACAAACCTAAGGGAAACCCAGTCGAATGCATGTCATTAAGAACAGAAAATGAAGCAACATTACCAAGGAAATCAACTGTGGATTACTTGATTGGGCCCAGAAGAAAAGTAATACGCAAAGTTTGGATTTCACAACTGACAAGTCAGAAAAGTAATGGAGGGTTTAATGGCTGAGACATCTTTTGAAGTTTCATTCAGTTAGAAGCCAAATGTCCAATGAATTTCTGAATTCAGTGTGCTTATAAATACATCATCCTAGAAACTGTTTGAAGTCTGATTCCCTCACTGAACATGGAGTGGTAACCCCTTATAAATAAATAAACTCAGAAAGGAGACATGTGAAAAAAGTAGACTATATTTCCAAGGTATTCTTTTTGTTGTCGTTTTTAAGTTTATTTATTTATTTTGAGAGAGACAGAGACAATGAAAGTGGGAGAGGGGCAGAGAGAGAGGGAGACAGAGAATCCCAAGCAGGCTCCACACTCAGCATGAAGCCTGATGCAGGACTTGAATTCATGAAACTGTGAAATCATGACCTTAGCTGAAACCAAGAGTCAGGTAGATGCTTAACTGACTGAGCCACCCAGGTGCTTCTTTCCAAGGAACTGTTCAAGAACTGGCTCGTGAGGTGGAAATAACCAGAGCCTTAAGAGAGGGACAGTGCATGCTTTTTACGTTCACGATGACCCACAAGGTAGAGACTGGACCTGATCATACACTGGCAAGACCAACAGTTTCCAAATGCTAGTCTGTGCACCAACTGCTCCACAGTTACCTGGGACACTAATGAAAACACCAGAGATCTCGGGTGTACCCGGTCCTGGGAATCTGCCCCTGTGGGACCGTACCCCAAGTGTCAGTATTTTTAAACTAGCGTTTGAGATTACTCTGATGCATAGTCAGACCTAGAACCACAGACTGTGGGGAAGGCAATGTTCAAGAGGTTTCTCGAACTGTGACTCCAGGTTCCCGTCACACAGGAAATATGGAGCAAGGAAGGGCTCTCAAAACCAGATTTCTGGTTGCACCATCTCATATGCTCCCCGAAGACAGGGCAAAGACGACCACGGCCGCAGATGTGGGCTGCCCTGGGTGCTTGATGGGGAGCTGGGAGGAAAGGGACAGAACCTAACTCAAGGATGGGCCATGCAGACCTGTAAGAAAGACAACAAAGGAATCAAGAGTAACAGAGAGGGCTCTCAGCTCTGTTCACCCAAGAAGGAAACCTGGGAAGGAAGTGCTCGCTGCCAGAGAAGGTCAAAGTCAGGATAGGCCACAGAAGGAACAGAAGAATAAGCCTGGTTGTGGGGGTAATGGAAATCCCAGACAGGGGGCAGTGTATAACTGCTCAGCTGCCTTAAGTTAGAACAGAGAGGGTAGCACACCAGAGTGACACAACACAGACTTCACATCAGACAGGACTCAGGCAACTCTCTCTCTCGAGCCTCCCAGAAACTGTTTCGTTGCTTCTAAATAGGGAACAATTCCTGCCTCAGGCTGAGCACACCAGGACAGTACATAAACAAAGGTACAGAAACTATCACATTCCCCAGGGTCTGGACTGACAGCAGGAACTATAAGAGCAGTCCCCAGCTCAAGGAAGGCACCAATTAGACACCATCTAGAATATCGTGCTCAAGAGTGGACCAGGCCACAAGCTAGAGAAACTAGTGCTGACCCTAAGGAGACGGAATAGAAACTCGGAAGGCTTGTGATCTGTGCACGTGAGAGGGTGTTCAAGTCAGAGAGGGCCTGAGGGACTTTGATTCTGGAGCAGTCAGCAGCAGGGGACACTGGTTCCTTCCATGGGCTCAGCTGGGGGAGAGCTGGGATCAGCGGACGCACGTTCTAGGGAAGTCCAGAAGATGTATCTAATAGAGCTGGGAAAAAACACAGGATGTGTCTTCTGATGTGATGAGCTCTCAGTCACAGAAAGCAAGTGCCAGACAGCAACAATTAGGGGATGTCATAGGAAGATTCTTGCACCGGTGGCTGAGTGCGCCTCTGTGTTTAACCATGACACATCAGCACAGAAAGGATGAGAGCTGTCGCACTCCTCTGATTATATGTGGAAGTCATAACATTCCCCCTTCCTAGCAATCAGATCTACAATGCCTTGTTAAAGATGGGTTTTTTCTGAGCCTGTAAAATGGAGGAGATAATAATAAATCCTATCCGCAGTCAGTGAGGTGAAATCACATTACACAGCGGGGTGCACATAAACTGAAAATGGTAGAGGAAGCTTTGTCTTTCCTCCTGCACTCTTACCCGTTATGATTAACATACTTTACAGTTACAAAAGCTGTAACCTGCTAAATGAAAACACACCAGCAGACATGTGACCACAGATGCATGACAGGGGGCATGCAGTTAATATACCTTGGGTTCTATCACTGGGGAGAGCTGGTTCCCATCGACACACTATGCAGTGGCAAGAAGGATTTCACACATGTGGAGAAAGAGAGACCAGTGTTAGTCGCAAACAACAACTCAGGACCAGCTGCCTGCTTATATCTGCAGGGCTCATTCCCTCCCTCCCCACCTTTATGTCAGGTAATCACCAGCCATGATGGAAACACAGGCCACTGTCTAAGTCACGGACAGATGTTCTGGACAGCTGCCAGCAATCTGACCAGGAGGAGCAAGAGGCACAGGACCACAGGAACAGAGCCACTGAATGGGCCCAGTGGCCCCTGCCAGCTCCAGCCTTCATGGGTTTCCACTGTAATTACCAGCACTGGTACACTGATCAGACCAAGGGACTGTAGGCAGCAGGGCTCCATTAAGGTGCTCCGTCAGGGAAGGACCCCCCTGGTCTCCAGTGACCTTGCTCAAGAACCTGCAACCTACCCCTCCAGCATAGGGGTCACCCACATGGTCAAGGGCCACCCTCATATATGGGGCCACAAAGCTCTCCTCATATCTTTCTAGACTCTCAAAAAAGCTTCCTCTCCAGTCTTCTAAATTATCCCATAACTCACTCCTGGGCTCATCAACTTTATTCACATTACTTCCTCATTCAAAATCTCTGTAATGCTCCCAAGTGGCTCTGGGGATATAGAGTCAGGATTCAAGACCTTCCATGGTTTGATCTGACTCATGGCTCTAAACTGACATCTTCCTGCTCCCTACACCTCAACATCTCCATCAACTCCAGGAAGCATTTCCTGTCCTGCCTCTATAATGCCTTGGGCCACACTTGACTGGTTGTCTCAAAATGTTCATGCAACTCCTGTTTCCCCATCAGCTTTAGAAAAGCCTCTATAAAGTGGGACCTGTATGTCCCAGCACTGCTGGGTAAGAAGTGACTCAGGAGTCTTTACGGAGAGGCTGATGGGCTGACCTTGTCCACAGGTTCACTTCTCAGGTCTTCTAGACTACATGAGAGCTTTTTCTGAGCCCTGGAAAAAACACAAAGGGAACAAAGAAACAGTTACTGGAGAAGGAGGTGCATGGTGTCAGTCATGCAGAGGACATTCCAAGTGTTTTACCAATGTCAAGTGGGTTTAGGGTCAAGTTCAGAAAAAAACCACCCTCTAATCATAACCATTACATAGGAGACTGGCCCATTTCAGAGGACAGCCTGGTCAGACAACATGTTGCTGAGGGCATGAGAGCATCATTTAAATCCAAATCAAAAGGCCTTGGCATTTCTGAAAAATCTAGAATACACTCAGTTCTATTACATCAATGGGAGCTAACTGTTACGTAGTCATAAAAGACAACCTGCAGGGTCAAAAGAGAGGAAAGGTGCCAGTACTGTCTTGTCTGTGAGTCTAAGATGGAATCCAGGGAGGAGGGCACTGTGCCACATTAAAGATAAGCACATTAGCCAGCCACAGCTCCAGAGCACCACCTGCTAGGATCTTCTCACCCTTTGCTCTGGCTCTGTATGCCCTGACTAGTCTGCTCAGGGGAATTTGCTTTCTCAGAGGTTATTTTGCAGCAAAGGGCACTAATTATACAGAGAAGAGGCAATGCCACTGGTGGTCACAAGGGTTACCTTGTGATAAGTCTCCTCAGCAATGATAGTTCTCTGTTTAGGCGAATAAAGCAGAATCTCTTGGTACGTTGGTTTCTTGTGAGTCTGGTCAGTGTGAGTTAATCGGTGTTGACTTCCTCTTGAGTGAACTCATAAACTGACTGGCCAACTGCCGTCGCTGACACTGACATTTTTCTCTAGGGCTAAAGGCTGAGGGAAACAGTGGCTCTCTAGAAAGTGGGGTCCTGAACACATACATTCTGGAGACTCAGCAGCATTCTAGAGAAGCTTCTGTCATACTTAAGGCCAATGTCTCCAGATACCTTGGCTGAAAGACAGCCTGCTCTTGACAGTAGAGCCTCTAGATCTCCATCACAGGGGGCCCAACTTGGACATGTTCTAAATTGTTGACATAGGGAACTAGAAATAGGTTCATTTTGGAGTGAACCAGGCGGATGGCAGCCAGGTAACCCCACAGGCCAGTGCATTATAAGCTCATTGCCATGTGAAGCTTCCCCAAAGCAACTGGACCAACCTCCCTATAGGATAAATGGCTCTCCCTGGGGAGCCTGGACTGTCACAGGGCTCTAGGGCTCCTGAGAGCAGGAAGGACTTTCAAGAGGGCCTGATAAAAATGAGACACACGTGATGGGATGCTCCCAGCCCCGAGGAGCTGCTGGAGGGCACAGATGACCTGCAGCCAGCTCTCCTTTGAGAATCCAACCCCCGGCCAGGTCTTTTCTTAGTGACAATGGCCCAGACCCTTAGCCCACGGGAAGGAAAGCTCCTCTGTGGCCAGAGGAGGTAGGCACAGTTCACGACTGCTCCACGGCTTGGGCCACATTGTGGCCGCTTCTGGGGCCTGGCATGCTTCTCTGACAGTGAAAGGGCAGGTGTGCCCAGGACATGGTGGCCGTGCTCACCACCACACATGGCCAGTTCCTGCCATGCAGGAGCCCCAAGAGGGTGTGAGGGCACAGCAGCTCTGGAGAAATGATCAGGCCTCCTACCTGGTTTCCAGTGATTTCTGTGGGAGTGGAGGTGGCCCCGCGGTGGGAGAGCTACATCTTGGAGGCATCTGTACCAGAAACAGAAGTCACCGTAGAGGACGGTTACTATCTAGAGACCATTCCCCTTCTTTGGACAATTTCCCTTGGGGAGTTGCACTTCCTCCCTTGGGCATAGCCACGGTGGCTGTGTCAATACGGATGCCTTGCTCTTTCAAGATGCCAAGGAGAAAGGAGTATCGAAAACCTAGGCCAACCCATCCCTCCTTCCCGGGCCTGTGTCCACATCCCTGCAGTAGCGTCCTGACACCTGAACCCCTGGGGATCCTGCTGTTCCTGCCCTTTCTGAGCTCGGTTCTTCAGCTTTTCCTTTCATTCAAGGAGCCACCACACACCCTTTCAAAAACGTGCCTCTGTGGTGTAGGCTAGCCAGAGTCGATTTCTGTCGCTTGCAGTAAGAAGCACTACAATTGTTATGAGCAACATCTATTGCCGGCCAGGCCCCATGGGGTGTGGGGGAAGCGCTCCCCTCATCAGACAGGCCATTAGGATAAAGATCAGTGTGCATGTCCTTAAGGTCCTGATACCTACACTGCAATATGGGGGTAGAGGGGAGGGAGGGGATACCACAGAAGAGGGTTTCAGAGGGGAGAACACCTGAGAAACAAGAATGGGCTTAGTGAGAAGGCAAAAAGGGAAGAGCATTGCGGGTGGACCAAACATGAGCTAATGGTGGTGTCTAAGGACAACACAGTCTGATGTCTTCAGTACTGTACTAAGTGTAAAGATGGCCTTTTCTCTAGGGCCCAGGAAGTACTTTTTTGGTCTACTATAGGGAGAACCCTGGCATTCTATAAGGCTGTTAAAAGCCTGAGCTTTTTGGCCAGATAGATGTGGATCCAATTCCAGGTTCTGCCATCTACCCGCTTTGTGACCTAAAGCAGATTATTGACCCTCTCTGAGCCTCAGCTTCACCATAATAAAATAAGAATCCCAGTGGGGTGTCATGAGGAGAAACGACGTGAGCCCTATGTACAGGGCTCATCACAGGGACCCCACTGAGGTACTTGAGTGTCAATCACTGCTATTTTATTACTGTCAGCAATCTGGAATAAGCTCATTATAAGCTCATGTTGGGATGTTTGTCTGACTTAATAACTGGGTCACTCGATGACACTTTGCTCCTCCCTTAATTAAAAGGGTTGAGCTAGACCTCTGAGACCCTTTTCGGTGTGGCCATTCTAGAGTTTCACGAAACTTTTACATCCTGGGCCAAAGCCCCTTCTCCACTCGAGATCTGGATCTATGAGTTTCTTTGCTTATTTGTATCTCATCTAAATGCAGAGAGGTTTGTATAAGAGGACCAGACTTTAAACAAGCAAAAGGGAAAGAAATCTGTATGCTGGTTACAGAGGCTGGAGGGGAGGGCTGCGGAATAGGAACGTATCACAGCAATAGGTGTGTTTATTCCCCTCAAAGAGCAAGACACTTTCACTCAACAAATATTTGCATTCTCCTGGGTGTCAGACATTATTACGGACACTGGAGAAACAGGGAGAAATAAAATGAAACCACCTATGGTCTCTGCTTACATCCCAGAGAGGAAGGACCAAAAGAAACAAGGAACTGGATTGAAAAGAAAAGTCCTACCCTTGAAAAGTCCAGTATCCACTATGCCACCCCTTGAGTGCTCATACAAATACTAACGCTGTCTGCATGTTGCATTCAGCCTGTGCTGCAAATACGACAGACAGCCCTCCCTGCCCTGTGACCTCCTACAGGAAACTCAAAGAAGGCTCCCAGTGTGCCCCAGAAATCTGCTGGGGGAGCTTTTAGAACACAGGCCTGTGCCTGGGCCCCTCTCCACCCTCGATGCTTTCCCCCAGGCCTCGGGGGCCACTCCATCCATTTAATTTCTCACCTGTCAAGATTTCTACCTGACAGGTACCTGATTTGATCCTCCCCCAAGCTCAGCGCAAGCTTCTAGGGCCTGCTGAAACCCCACATCACAGATGGAAACACAGCACCTCTGGCTTAAGTAATTCGTCAGGGCCTTTGTTTGCACTGTTCCACTTTCGGAAACTTCCCTCGAGTTCTTCTTCGTTGATTGAGAGAGTTCTGTCTGCAGGCCCTAGAAGCATTAACGCAGAAGAAGGGGTCATTCCTGTGGGATTCATCTGAAACCTGTGATTACACCACAGATTTCTTTTTTTTTTTAATTTTTTTTTAACATTTATTTTATTTTTGAGACAGAGAGAGACAGAGCATGAATGGGGGAGGGGCAGAGAGAGAGGGAGACACAGAATCGGAAGCAGGCTCCAGGCTCTGAGCCATCAGCCCAGAGCCCGACGCGGGGCTCGAACTCACGGACCGTGAGATCGTGACCTGAGCTGAAGTCGGACGCTCAACCGACTGAGCCACCCAGGCGCCCCTACACCACAGATTTCTAACAGTGCTTCTTCATCAAGGAAAACTAAGACATATATAAAGGGACATTACAGGTGTAATTCGTAAGATTCTTTGGGGAATCTGAGAAAGGGCTGTCATGAGGGTCATCTCAAGGTCAAAGCTCATGGGAGGAACAGAGAGAAGGCAGCCCTTACTATTCCTCCCTAACCTTCTCATTCCTTGGCCATGGGTCATGATGCTCTGACTCGACCCCAAATACCAAAGGAGGAGGGAAAATAGGGCCGTGATACATGGGCAGGGCCAGCGGAAGCTCAACCAGAATGAGGTCCCTGAACACCCTCAAGGTGGCCCTCTCCTGTGAAGCAGCTGCTTTCCAGGGATCTGTGACAGGAGCCCGGGTCAATGACATGAATGGTAAGGCGGGCAGCCTGGCCCAGGCCCCACTGTGCTCACACGAACACTAACACTGCCCGCATGGTACGTTCAACCTGCGCAGCACATATGAAGCACAGATAGTCCTCCCTGCCCTGTGACTTCCTACAGGAACCCAGGTACCCAGAGACTCAAAGAAGGCCCCCAAAGTATCCTGGAAATCTGCTGGGGGAGCTGTCAGGAGGTGGACAAGCTCTAATCCCCAATGAGGGTATCGAACTGGTTTTTGGTCCAGGTTGACTGCATTCACTGCCTCTAAAAGGTATCCTGGAAAAACACACAGGAGATCCCCAAGGATGGGGATTCCTAAGGGCTCACGTTAAAGGCTCTATTTTCTTGATAATATGCTTAGTCCACAGGAGCTCTGGGCTATCATTAGACATAGTTTCTAGAAACCAATAGCTGCCAGTTTCCCACTGTCCAGGACAGTCTAACCAGCTCCATTATCCAGCAGAGGATCTTCTCCAAATGAAGGTTAAGAACCTTCTAGCGAAATGCCCCTGGATTTAACACAATAGATGGAATACCTTTGGGAGAAAACAGCAGAATCCTCCTTTCCCTCACCTTGAGTTGCCATCACAATCTCCTTCACCCTCCGATACTGGTTTAACAGCCCTGTGAGCTCCTCTATCCGACGGTCCTGTCACAGTGGGAGAGCAGACTATATGTAAACACCACCACTGGCCCCATGGAGGATTTCATTTGGGGGCCCAGACTACATTCTGGGCACACTGAGAAGAGATGCTATGTGGAAACTAAGGGACACTTCGACGGGAAGTTCGGTGTCCAGCCTCCTTCCCACAGAGCCTGGGTTCCCAGTGGTCTGCCCCCTAGGCAGCTGCAAACATTCTTGCCTCTACCCAAAGGCTAGGAGTCCAATCCCTAGCCGTAAAACAATCCCTTCCAGACACAGCCTTCGAGGGGCTTAAACATTTCAGAGGCAGGAAACGCACTATCTCCCTACCCTCCTGAGGTAGCTTTTGGAATCTGTCTCCTGGATCGAATGCTGTCCTCTGGAGCTACATACAAAGATTAAAATAAAGCCATCCTATTTATCCCCAATACCCTCAACCTGTTCCTTAGGAGCCCGAGATTCCTTGCACAACAGGTGAAATTACCAGAGGAGATCAGTTCTTTCAGCAAAGGCCTGGGGACTTGGGAGGCCACGCAGATTTGGGCATTAGACAGACCTGGGTGGGAACCCTGGCTCCACTACCTACTGTTAACGAACCTTGGACAAAAGTACTCAAGCACTTTGAAGGTCAGTTTCTTTATCTGTAAAATGCAGGGTTGTGATCCTAAGAGGTGATGGCCATCCCAGGTAAGTGCTCTATAATTACAGAGGTGGCTACTCTAGGATTACACAGGCAATCAGATGTGAAGAATGGAAGGCGGTGGGGTAAACACATCACGTGCTGCCTAGTGTCTCCGTGACGGGTCTGTCACCAGATTGTGTGCATAGGAGATTGGTGGACTGCTCTCAAGTTTTGCCAAGAGTCTAAGCAGCAGTTATGGCATTTGGCAGTAACTACAGGGGTATTTTTTTTCCCTCCTGCACCAGCACGAACAGGCATGATTTTATTCTGCATTTGGGAGATTTCGCTTAGGCAAAGTCCCCAGGCATCAAAGCCAAAACAAACGGCTGAGGCTCAGTCTCCAAAAGGCAGAAGCCATTCTCCTGACACGTCCCTGGGTCACTGGCCTGATGGGCATGACCCTGCCCAGAATATCAGAGACCAGTAGGGACGAAACAGCCTGTTAACAGAGGAAGAATAGGGCTGCCTTGATGGACCATCTTACCTTATCTTCATTGGCAACAAGCAAAGTTTCCATCCCCATTTTCAGACGTTGAATTTCTTGGTCTGAAAGAATTTAGGTGTAGGGAGAATTATTTACACACAGACAGCCATCCCCACGTGCTAAGCTGCTAAGACTTCCCTTGTGAATAAATTGCATGTGGGCTCCTTTACTTCTTTAAGAGCCCATGACGGTGTCTGGTGTAGTCATTCTCATTAAATATTTGTTGGATTACTAAATGAATGCGCAAACCTAATCTCTCATGTTCTCTTTGTAGAAATTAGTGGGGAAAATACAAATTCCATTTACTCGAAGTTGACACAAAAGAACCCAAAAACCTTTCAAAACCAACATCTCAGAAGAATACAGACATTATTACTTGAGTGGGCATGTACCTGGGCTGCTAGCTAGTTTTAGAGAAAAATAATACAGTCCCATGGATTGTAGCAAAGGAGAATTTAAAATAAGAAAGAAAAAAAAAAAAGTCTACAGCTGAATGAAGAAAAGAATGATTACGTAAAAGAGCTGGGTACTTGGCTTAATTTAAAACGCTATAGTCAGAATTGACTAAAGAATATTTAGACACATCTATAAATATATTAAAACAAATTCTACAGTTAAGGAAAACTATCTTATTTCAGAAACCCACAGAATATCTCTATGGGCCCAGGCACTTGTGTCAGTCTGTTGTGGGCAACCTAAGGCCTGCTCTCACTCTGGACCTAATAGGGGCTCTTGATTTCTTCCCAAACTGGTCTGAAGGACGAGGTCAAAGGCCAATGCCTAAGGGAGCTGGAGGTCAGTCTGCTACATATTTAGGTCTAGGGAGTGGCACATAGTGGAATATTCAAAACAAGGACCTATCCCCATTCCTAAACTGATTATTACAAAAGGAAGAGGGGGTGTCTATATGAGAAAAGTCCAGGAGACAAGGGAACCAAAATATAGGCATCCCATTTGCAACAAGAATAGGAAGAGTAGACTTGTGTAAATAGTCATAGGGATTCATTTTCAGAGGACAATACAGAGTGCCCGTTCACTATCTTAGGCTCTTGGCAGCTGAAGAGCAACCCCACAGCCCCGTCTGTGGGACGAAGGTGGTAAGCTTCCTATGAAGAGTGGCAAACCTCAGTGCTTTGGGCAGGACCCAACCTGAGCAGCAAATGACCAAAGGACCGGCTCCAAGAGTTACCGGATGATGGATCAGAAGGCCTGGGCTCCAGAGAAGCATAGTGTGGAGGGGGAAGGCTACCTGGCCTAGGATCAAGGCACAGAAAGCACTCTGTCCAGATTAAGCATCACAGAGAGTCTGGGATATGTTAGGGGGCCCCAGCATCCACCTTGAGCCATGGCAGGTAGGTGACACACTCAAAGGCTTAAGAAGACACTGAGAAAGACTAGGGGAGGCATGAACATATTGGTCACTAATTTTCTTCTCCAGCTTAAGCCACCATTTCATGCCGCATAGCTTCCCACCCCAGCCAGGGACCCAAGCTAAGCAGTGCTGAGGCTGAGAGGGGACCCGGTAGTAAGGCCAATCCATAGGGCTACAGGACCTCCTCCAGCATCATTCTGCAGCCTCATGGGAAGAGGAAGGTATGTGATCATTTTGAATACAAGGTGGATAGCCTTAAATATTAAATATGTGTTAATAAGAGTATTTGAGGATTCACCCTCTTTTGAATCAGCAGACTTGGAACTGATGAGGGACCATTCACCATCCTTTCACTTACTCAGTATTTCTTAGGAGCCTACCATGGCTGAATGCTGTGTGAAGTTCTGTGGATATGGTCTCCAATAGGACAGACACAGTTCTTGCCCCACAGTGAGGACAACAATCTACCCAGAGTCCTCCCCAAATGCAACCCTGATGAGTTTTAAGTGCTATGAGGGAAACAAAAAGAATGCTGAGCTAGAGAAAAATAGGACTGGGGGCATCTGGTTGAGGTAGGATAACCAGAAAAGGCCTTTCTGAGAGGTAACATTTAAGTTGAGATCTAAAGATGAGAACTAGTGGATTTGTTTCTGTATCCTCGGGGCCTTGTATGAGTATCAAGCAGGTATCCATTCAAGGAGTGAACGGATTGCTAAATAAAGCCTCCCCTGTGGGAATGACACAAAGACAAGTCCTTCCCGTCAAGTGCAAAGAAAAGCTCCAGAGCTTAATGATCAGACTACATGTGAGAGAAGCCTTCAGGGTGGAGTCTTCTGGACAGGGGAGGGGCTCATGGCAATGGTTCCACAGTAGAACTGTGCTTTCTAGGCCCTTTCACGCACACTCATGCATGCATCTGTTCACTTGGACGTGTTTGCACACACAGGACATATGTGCACATCAGTAAGCCTACTCACACAAGCACACACATAATCATCCATAGACACACATGCCCAGAGGGCCCAGGGGCAAACTCTCTCCCAGTCAAGCCAGTTACCTTTTTCTGCGTGGTCGCTGTGCAGGGCTGCGGTCCGGGAGAGCTGGCTGTGCAGGCGCTCAATTTCTGCATCCTTCAGGGCCACCTGCTCTTGCAGCTGGGCTACCTCAGCCTGAAAGAGCAACAGAGGATCCCCACCAGCTCAGAGGGACTACCAGACTGTGATGAAGTACCTCAAGTCATTCATAGCTCGGGACGAGTGGGTCCCAGAACATGCTGGGAAGTCAGGAGCAGAGGCGCCAGAGGTGAGCAGTCAGAGGTGCTTACCGCCGTCCCCACCACACGGGGCTCTGCAGACTGAACTCATTCTCCCTGGCCAATCCGGCCCTGCCCTCAGCTCCCGCTGGTCACCTGCATCCTTCTACCTGACCAGGCTCTTACCTCCCCTGCCCTCTGAGGCCCAGTCGCCCCTGAGGCCCGAGGCGCTGGGGCTGTGTGCAATGGGAGAGCTGCTAATGCACATTCTCTTTCCGGATGTGGTCTTCCTTCTCTCAGGGGATTCATGCAACAGCACAGATGTACATCATTGCAACGAGTGCATGCATCTTTCATTTATCCACATCCATACAGGAAACATAGTGGAAATCAAATCACTACTGGTAGGTAGACAAAGAGTGAGCCAAGAGTACCTCCCTCATGTACTCTCTTCATGCACAGCCACGGCCTCTGCCCAGCCTCCATATGAGCACCTATGCACGCTCACCCATATGTACCTCTATACAAGCGTTCAGATGTGCTGAGCAGATACACTTTTGCAAATAAAGTATGTAAGTACAGCCACAGATGTGATACATACATTCATACGTAGACATGCACGGGCAGTTGTGCTGGGTGCTTCACACACCTCTACTAGGCACCGCAGGTTAAATCTCACATGTAACAGTAGGTGTGACCGTCCGCACCTTCCCACGCTCGTGAGAAGATCAGAACCGTGTAGGTCCCATCCCAGGGGCCACACTGGCTTTGGAGCCAAACAAACTTGGATTCCCTCATTTCCTAGTTGGAGGACCTTAGGCAAGTTAACCTTTCTGAGTTAACTTCTGAGTCTTGCTTCATCTCTAAAATGGGGAAAACAGCATTGACCTCAAAGGGCTGTGGGGAGGATTAAATAAGATAATGGTCATGGACAACTTAGCCTAATGCTTGTTACACAGTAAGGGCTCAATAAATGCTGCTACTCTTGCTTCTCTCGTCTTATTCCTTTCCTAAGGGTAACCAGGTAGTTCTCTGAGCATCAAACCAGACAAAGAAAGGGGGTGAGGACCAACTCAGGAGCCAGCCAACATACAGCAAAGGCCTGTACTCTGGCCATCCCTCCCCATGTGGTAGCCCAATCACATCCCCCCTTCTTTCCTCAAGGTCATAGAATGGGATGCCAGAGCTAACCTTCGAATAGTTTCAAGTGACCGAAAACGAGCACTGAGACTCTTGGTGGCTCCTCTGCCAACAGGCCTTGCGTTCAGTTTCAGGCACACTGACTGAGCGTCCACTCTGCCTCTGACCCAGTGCTCACTGATTTCTTACGTCCAACCTCACTCAATCCTCACAGGAGCCCATGGGAGGAAGCAACATCACTGCGTGTCGCTACCGGGGAGACACCAGGAAGAGTGCAGGATGCGATGCCCAAGTCATAGGGCCACTTAGTGACCAGGACGCAAACCCCACCTGCTCGGGAGCCAGCTTCTGAATCAACAGCACAGATGAAGGCTACTATTATGGGCCGAGAGCTCCCTGAGCCCACCTTAGGGGTTCTAAAAGAAGCTTCCCTAATATCCCTCAAATGGGAAAAGAGAGGGCCATGTAAAGAAAAAAAGAGGCAGCAAGGGGTAGGCTCTCCTTCTTCTGAAGTGCCCAATGGAGCCCTGCCCCTCTGCTCTGTGGCATCTACCCAGAGAGGCCAGAGAGCAAGCCCAGCGGTGGCCAGCTGCTAGCTGAGACCTACAGCCACGCAGCACTGTCCCCTAGCTCACTCAGGGCCTCGGTGCCTGCGGGCCTACAACTAACAGCCTCGGTGGCTTCTGAATACCTTAGCCTTGAGCCTTTCGGTCCAAATGCCTCTTATTTCTACAAGGACCATACTATTCTTAGAAGATCTTCTAACCTTTCTTGGACCTTCCACGACCATTTTTCCCTTTCTTTGCAGACCAAGTGAGAGTTGGTCTCTGTTAGGAATCTGCATGCCTGATGCTGGTCTCCGGGACCCACAGTGGATCTCAGTGATATGGGTGAGGCAGAGCCCAGCACAATGAGGTCCCTTGTCTCTGAAGCCTGCCTCTGGGTGAGATCATCTATTTAAAACCCTGTAGACTAGGGGCGCCTGGGTGGCTCAGTCTGTTGAGCGCCAACTTCGGCTCAGGTCATAATCTCACGGGTTCGTGAGTTTGAGCCCCGCGTGGAGCTCTGTGCTGACAGCTCAGAGTCTGGAGCCTGCTTCGGATTCTGTGTCTCCCTCTCTCTCTACCTGTCCCCTGATCATGTACTGTCTCTTTCTCTCTCTCAAAAAATAAAACATAAAAATAATTCTAAAAAATTAAAAAAATAAATAAACTAAGTGGCTGAGTCCCAGCTGCCAGGTGTCAATTTCCAGAGAATAGGCCAGAAATGACAGGTGCTCTGCTGTGCTTAGCATAGTACCTGTGCCCATAGCTGGGAAGTCTACAACAGGCTACAAGCCCTCTACCTGACCACGAGGGCAAAGGATGCCACTGCCATGGCCACAGAGGCTGGAGCTGTGTGGCCAGAGGTCTGAGGCAAAGGTGTGTGGGCTGGTGCCAGGCAGAGGGCTGCTCCAGCTCCCTGTAAGTACTCAGCTTCGTTAAATCCAGGGATCACCCCTGATTGCTGCCCTGGAAGATGAGTTGCCTTCAGGGGCTGACAAGCTTTATGCAGAAGACTAAAGAACTTTCAAGAATAGTACAGGCTTTTACTTGCAGGGAATCAGGATTTTATAAGAAAGAGAGCATGGATTTTGGAATGACACAGATCCAGGTCTGGACCTCACCTTGGCCACCCTGGGCTTTGGTTTTCTAGCCACTGAAATGGGGATAATAAATCAACAGACCTCACTAGGTTATTTTTACGGATCAAATGAGAAAATGTGGGCAAAGAGCTTGATGCATTCTGGCACATAGGAGGTGCCCCTTACCCAATAGTTACTGAGTAACCTGTAGTATCTCAAAGGTCTCTATGCCAAGGCAAAGAGCTCAGGTGACCTAGAAAGAGTTGTTTGGTTTTATAATACATGGTTGTACAACTTCAAAGGCTTCCCCAAGACAGGACTCGCCTGAGTGGAATTCTGTGACAGAAGGCTCTGAGCTATTTGAGAAAATCACTGCTGCTGGAACAGGTACAGCACAGAACACACAAGGGTGCACTTAGATAACAACAGGGCTGGAGACAAATGTGCTGGGATTGCCTAGGTTGGTGCTCACTTGGTAAGATCTCGGGAAAGTTACTGAACTGCTCTGTGCCTCGGCTTCCTCATTGGTAAACGGTTAAGAAAATCATTTTATACAAGCAATTATACAGATATCAATATCATGTTCAGAGTTTTAAGAGCATGACATAAATTGCATATAAATTATCAACACTAGAAATTGGAGAAAGAGCGAGCGAGATTCCCCCCAAAGAGAAATTCCTAGAAGGAAATATTAATAGTGGTAGCTCCTAGGTGGTATAAGGGTGACTTTTATCCATTTTTTATGGTTTAAAGATTCTCTGTGATGAGTATTGTTTTCATAATCATTAAAAGTTAACTTACAGAAAAAAATAAAAGTATAACCAGAAATTAGGAAAACTCTTAAGTACTTTTTAAAACCCTAGTAAGAAATAAAAATGAAAACCTAGTTAACACCTCCGGGTGGCGCTACAGAGGCCTTAGTGAAATAGCAGGTGTGCTTTCAGGGGGCTGCCTGGACCAGGCTCCCGCAGGCAAGAATGCTCCTCCAGGGCTATTCCTTCCCCAGCCCAGGCTGCTGAGCTCCCCAGTTCCATAGAAACATGGTTTAGTTAAAACAACAAAGTAGTGGAGTGCATTCAGTGCTAAAATACAGCATGCCTATTTAAACCAACTAGTTATTAAAAGGGACCGCTAAATTTAAAGTGATGCAGCCGAGGTAACATCGACGTTCATCTGCCTTAAGACTTCTCACTTGCTCACAGCCCCTTACTGGTCCCATGTCAGCCTAGGGGTGCCACAGGACACAGCAAGACGAAGGAGCTCAGCTATTCCAGCAGTGCATGATCTCAGGGGGCTTTCCTTAGGAGAAGAGCCTTCCCAGATCAAAACTATCTACTTGCACAATCTGTGCACTATTGCGTGTGCACACAGTAGGGTCAATCTGCACTTCTCCAGCTCAGATCCCGAGCTTGAACGCAGACCCTCCCCACCGGGCCTCAGCACCTCTCCATAAATATAAGAACCGCCTTTTACCTTAGTGGCCTTCAGCTTCCACTCATACTGATTCCGTTCATTCTCCAACTCTTCTACCTTGATTTTGAGGTGCCTGAGCTCTTGCAGTAACTCCTAGAAGGATAAGGGACAAAAACAAAGTTCTGATGGTTACAGAGCATGATGTTCCCTGGGTAACCCCGGTTAGGCTCATGCAGGGGATGCCAGGGGCAAGAGATCCCGTGTCATGTTCAACACTGCAGCTCACATCCTTAAACACGGTCCTGTTTCAGGAAAAGCTGTGGGCCATTCGAAAACAGAAGCCAGGGCTTCCAGGCATACGAAGAGAAAACTTTGTTGTTTTTTTTCTTTAGAACTAGTTCTGCCTGCCCCTTTCTGACATCCATGTCCTCTGTGGGGTGTGCCCAAATCATGCACAAATGTGGAGGTGCAGGACAAATAGGACTTGGGAGCCAGAGGAACAGAGATACAAACATGAAGCAGCTTCTTACAGACAAAGTAGCAGGAAGCAGGCTAGGTGGGCGCACCTCTCTGTGCTGGGGCGTGGGGCAAGGAACCCCAAGAGGGGTGTGTGATCCTGGAAGGCTCCAGAGAAGAAGGGGCAGCCAGCAGGACAGAAAACACTAAGATAACAAATGCCAAATGCAGAGTGTTCTGGGCCAGGGGCGGGGGTCGGCTTGAAGAAAGGAGGGAAAGAGAAGGCAGACCGGCGGAGGGTGGATGCAGGAGGCACAAAGGGAGACAGTCTGTTGGGCTAGGGCAGAGGACAGGTGGCACGAGTGGGAGGTGAGGCCAGAAAGTAAGGTGCAGCCCTACCAGAAAGGCTTTGGGTGAAAATACAAAGAGCTCTGAGGCCATTCTTTGGCAGTAGGGAGCCACTGAAAGTTGCTGAGTGAGGAAGGGATGGTTGACCAACTTGCCCGGGGTGAGTTGGAAGTCAGGTTTGTTTCTTCCAACTACAGTGACCTTGCTCCCTAAACTACTCTTTCAGCAAAGACGACACCACTGAGCACCCTTGTCCCAAACCAAGTTTCCTTTAATGGATAATTGGTCCTGCCAACTGGCTCCTATCAGAAAAATTAATGTGTATGTGATCACTTCCAGCCTTCTGAACTCCAGATCCCCACAGACTCCCGACCTAACACCTCTAGGCAGGCATCTCACGACTGTCATGGCCCAAGTGGAACACTTAATTCCCCCTTTTAGACATTCCAACCTCACTAAATGGCAGCTCCATCCACCTACCTCCCTGTGCCAGAAACCTGGGGCCCATCCTTGGCATCTCCCTCTCCCCGACAGATGCAATCTATCCCCAAGCCTTGTTAAGTCTATCTCAAGGAAATGGATCTCTCCTTTCTCTCCAACTCAAACACCACTACTCTGATCTAGCAGTTCATGTCAACAGGCCGGGCAGTCTCTCCAGGGGTCGCTCGTCTGTCGTCTTGCCCTTCTTAAAGCCCCTGTCCCCCGCGGCATCCAGGGGAACAACACAATTAAAGGACAAATCTGATCCTGGCGCTCCTCTGCTCCTCAAAACTCATATGCTCTCACCAGCACTGCCTGGCCTGACCCGGTGCCCTACCTGCCTCTTGGATTACTCTCTCCCCCCAGTGATGCACCAACCAAACTGGATACTTTTTAGTTCCTCGTCTACTTGGGCCTTTACACACACCGCTCCCTCTTGTCTGGAGCAGTCTGCCAGGTGAATTCCCACCGATCCTTCCTCAGGCCTCCTCAGCAAAGCTATCCCAACCTCTACACCATATTCGGGTGTGGCAGAGTATATCCTTTCTGGTGTGGCACCCTGTATCCCTCCTACGTCATTTGCAATTAGATACTTACTGGTCTGATCGCTAATGGCTGGTTCTCCTCCTGTGTGAACTCCAGGAGGGGTTTGGGTAACTCCGAGCGTGCTTTGCTCACCACTGGCACATGGTAGGTATGTATTATTTCCCAATGAACGAACACGGAAATTCAGTTCATCGTTTAACTGACCTGGAGCTCTTTGTGTTCTGAGATAGTCTGCCAGAAAGGTCCACTGCTTACACTTGAACTTTGTAGGGTAATCCACTAAGATTTTCTTATAGCCAAGGTAAACATTTATTGATGCCTCTTTTCAAAAATTGTCTTCGAAGCTAAGGTCATTGTACCCATGACCTGCAGCATTAGATTTTAAGGCCTGGTGGGACTTCCAGCCGACCCAGGATGGTTTTCTGAGAATGTTTCCGGCCCTGCCTGAGAGGCTGCCACCATGGAGACACAGAGCATGATGACGGCCAGGCTCTGATGACCTTTGGCACATCCTCCTCTTTCACGGTTGTCTGTGGTGCCCATCATCGGCTATAAACACTGGTACAAACGTTAGCCTCTTTGAGACATCTTTCTGGGTTGACCCACTCAACATAGGGCACTCCCAGAACTTCCCTATTCAAATCCACATTTACCTCTGGGCTCTCATTTCTCCCCCTTGTCATTTAATGTAGGAGGAAATCTCCCCACCTCAACCCCCACCTGCCCCCAAGCTCCCCCTCTACTGTCTGATTCTGGGTAGAGCTTCAGCATGTTCCACGGTTGAGTATGGGTTGTGATAATTTCCCACAGAGCTGAGGCGGACCCTCTGTAATGCTCACAGCTACTATGACCTTGACCTTCCTTCAGGTTTCCACGTCCTCTTCGACAGTAGGTCTCAGAGGCACAGACTCCTCTCTGTGCAACTGCCATCACCAGGTCCAGTCAGGTCACGCAGGCCCCGGTCCCACCAGGATGAGGGGACAAGTCCAGAACACCGGTCAGGTATACCCCATAGGGTCCAGAGGTCATGAAATCCCTCTAATGCGATTAGGTGGGGAATTTTTCCTAGAAATTCAGATGATGACCTAACTGTCATAGCAAAAGGAAACTGGTGTTCTATTTTCTCACTAGGGATTAACTTCCTTAAAAATAAACTTGAAAGGATTCGCTCACGATGCTATTTTTTCTTTAAAAAAGAAAATAAAAATCACACGAGATAAAACTTCATTTAATCTCCCAGCCCAGGAGGAGAATCAACGCCTGAGTAACACCTGGGAAGGGGAATCCTGAGTCTTCCTTTTGCATGAATGCCCATCCCTCAGGGCACCTGACACACCTCATTCCCAGCCCTGAGGAAGGCCAGTGCCACCACCTGGCCAAGGGTTGGCCTCACCCGCTCAGACCCTGCTCTCTGACGGTTGCAGAGCTCAGCTCAGACCCCGAGGGGAGTGCACCAGTCCCAAGCTCTGCCCGGAAGTAACAATAGAGCCGTGTTAAGCCACTGCACTCGCTTGTGGTTAGGAGAAAGCCCAGCCCCTCCACCAGTGAAATGCCCCCACACGCATGCTCTGATATACTTAAGTGTGGTTCCTACAGGTGACCCCTCCCAACAGGCACAGTCCTGGCCGCAGGGGGAGGGCTCGGCTGCGCTGTCACCAGCCGCCACCTCCTCAGGGCGGCCCCTACTGAGTAAGAGGCGCTCTTGAATCTGCCTGTGGATGTCCAGCTGCAGCCTACACATCTGCTCCTGCAGCTCACTGATCACATTCAGAACCGACTGCAGGAAGGAAGAGAGAGGAGAAAAGAGCACTCAGGGTCAGTCAGCTCTCAGACACAAAGCTCCCCAGGAGCGCGGCCCAGAGAGAAGGAAGCATGCAGGGGATGAGCTGCAGGGGGCGACCCAGAGGTGACCGCCCACTTTCTTCACGGGAACCTAAAGACCTGGTGTTTTTCCTGAACCCGCCCCCTCTACGGGGTGGTCCTGCAGTCTGAGCAAACCCCCGGCAGCTCCTCTGTGCCATGCAGTGGGGGTGCGGTGGGGGCATCCTTGCACACCAACGAGGCACCCGGCCCGGCGGCAGCAGCAGAGACAGGCGCACAGACACGACCCCTCTTACATACGCCCAGGTATAGCTGCCCCTCTCCCGCCCCCCAAACACACCGACACCCACGCGGTGACGTGTGGCATATACCATGCTCGCACACGCTGGTACATCCCCAACTCTAAACTCTCCCTCACCCCCATACCAGACCTTACTCCTTCACTTCCCATTCCAAACCAGACTTCCTCTGTAGCCTAGAGAACATCTTGGCCCTTATATGGCCACTTTGAAAAGCTGCAGCCCCTGGAATTCATGCCTACTCCGTTCTGAACCCCTGTCGCCCACAGGTCTGCTGGGATCTCCCTTTTCTACTCCCTAGACATTTTGTCACCGTGTAGAGGCACACACGTAATCATGACAGTCTGTGAGTGCCACCATCCTGAAAACCATGGGGCTTCCAGGGAGTAGTGAGTGGCTAGTTCTGTGTGGGTCAAGAGGAAGGGGCGGCACGAGTCTAGGTGATGTCAAGCAGGCACCTCTGGACCCCTTGCCTGAAGGTGGGAATGGAGAAGAGAGCGCCACACGCCTGGGTAACGCGGCTCACGACAGTGCCGCTTGTGGCAGCCAGAAACCGGAAAGGCTGAGGGAAACTATAAGCAGCCCATGGGGCAGGGATGCGGACTTAAGGAACTATCACAACAGAGTGGAACAGAGACCTGGGTGGACAGGGTGGCAGCCAATGAACCTGTCAGGCCTCCCTGCCCACCTTTACTGATATTCTAAACACCGGCATCTGGTACTGGGGTCAGCCACCGGCACTGTGGGGACTGCCCAGGCACGCTGGGAAGAAATTACCCATCCCCAGTAGTGACAGCGGGGTCTAAGAAGAAAAACTCCCATCTCATATCTTGTTTTGTACATCCCCTTCTCCGGTGTAGAAGGGAAACGGGGTCTGAGTGGCAGCTCAGGGCTGAAAGGATGCTGGGCGAAGGTGCCCGCCCTCCTGTCTGGTGATGCCATTTGGATTCAGAGTGGCAGGGCAGTCCTCGCCATCGTCAGCAGGCCTGGGGCCTCCCGGCCACTCACCCTTTAAGCTAGCTCACCTGAATTGGCCCAGACAGCCCAGGCTGTCTTCCTCCAGGGTCATCTGTCTTACAGCATTTTCCTACCAAGATGAGAGGATTGGGCTGAGAGGTCAGGGTGGCCTTTCTGGGCCTAAGTGCCCTGGACCTCAGATCTCTACCCAGCTTCATTGTTACTGGTCCCTGCACCCTGATGGGC